TAGATATTCATTTTGAGGATGAAGAGATTTATGCCGATGAAGATGAATCAGCAGATTCAGATTTAGATGAACCTATAGACTACTAAACCCTAAACCCTAAACCCTAAACCCTAAACCCTAAACCCTAAAAACTTAATGTGTAAATAAACCCTTAAGGCATAAAACCTTTACTCTTTTGTAAACCCTCTTATATATATCCATCAGTTACTAAACCCTTATCTACTATAAACCCTAAACCCTAAACCCTCGTAAACCCTCAACTCCGAAACCCTCAACTCCTAAACCCTCAACTCCTAAACCCTTAACTCCTAAACCCTCAACTCCTAAACCCTCAACTCCTAAACCCTCGACTCCTAAACCCTTCTTTTCAAACCATTTTGTACAAAACCCTCCTTCTTCTTAAACCCTCGATTCGTAAACCCTCGATTCGTAAACCCTTGATTCGTAAACCCTCGGTTACTAGACCCTCGATTACTAAACCCTCGATTACTAAACCCTCGATTACTAAACCCTAGGCAGCCCTTAAACCCTTTTTTTCTTTGTTATAAATAAAGCATGAATAGAAAGAGCTGCTGCTGCTGCTGCTGCTGTTGCTGTTTCTGCTGCTGCTGCTGCAGTACTATTATTTTTCTTTTTATTTATAAATATAAATAAAAAATAATTATATAATTATTTACTAATTATTTTATTTAATTTATTTTTTTTTTATTTCTTTTTATTTATATAGTATTAATCTATATATAAGAAACCCTTAGGGTTTCCTGCCTTGCGGTGTATAGGCACCTTTATGCCTTTATTAATAAATATTTATTTTTATTTATTTATTTATTTATTTACTTATTTATTCATTAATTTTATTTATTATTTTTTATTTAAATAAATTAAATCAACAAAATTGGGCAGCAGAGGGGCCCCCTCCTGCCTAGGGCCTGTCTGGGGGGGGGCCCTTGCAGCTGCTGCTACTCCTTGCAGCAGTAGCAGCAGCAGCAGCAGCAGATAGGAGCAATTTGTATATTGAGGTGTATATACAGCTTAATATATTTATAATTAAATACATAATTAATTAATAAGGAGACAACAACGGCAACAAACAGAGACACAAAGGCTGCTGCCTAATCCTTACATAAGGAGACACAAGGCCCTAGGTAATGGGTCTGCAGCAGCAACAGCAGCAGCAGCAACAGCAGCAGCAGCAACAGCAGCAGCAGCAGAAACAGTAGCAGCAAGGGCTGTAACAATTGCTAGAACGGCAGCCACAGCAGCAGCAATAGGAGCGGGCTGCCTCAATAGGGCCACAGCAGCAGCAGCAGCAACAGCAGCAGCAGCAGCAGCAGCAGCAATAACAGCAACAGCAGCATGCGCACGCAATTATATTTGTTTGCTGCTGCAGCAGTGACGCTGTGCTGCTGCAGCAGCAGCTGGATAAACCCCACAGCAGCACTTAGGACAGGACAGCAGCAGCAGCAGCAGCTGCTGCTGCCCCTTACCTCTCCTACAGAGACCCCACATCTACGTAAACCCTAAACCCTAAACCCTAAACCCTAATCTACAAACCCTAGTCTCTGTTATACGCGAGCATCTTGCTGGCTTGTTATGGATGTTGGTCGCATTTGTTGCTGCTGCTTGCTTAGCTGCTGCTGCTGCTGCTGCTGCTGCTGCTGCTGTTGCTGCTGCTGCAGAGAATGAAGGGAAGGGTTTGCTGCCCTCTAGCCGCAATTTGCTGCAGCAGCTGCGTGGCGGTTTGTCTGTGCAAGTACAAGCAATGAATGGTAAACCCTAAACCCTAGCTAAACCCTAAACCCTAGCTAAACCCTAAACCCTAGCTAAACCCTAAACCCTAGCTAAACCCTAAACCCACCTATCTAAACCCTAAACTGTCAATTTTTTAGATGAGGGCAGCAAGAGAATTAACCTTTTCTGTTGGAGCTTGTATTAGGGTTTAGGGTTTAGGGTTTAGGGTTTATTGTTGTGTATTGCAGGTAAATTAATAACATTAGAGGACCTAAACCCTAATTCTACTGTGCTGCAGCTAAAGCAGCAACTGCAGCAAAGGGAGGGACTAAACCCTGATCAGCAGAGACTAATTGTTGGAGGGAGACACATGAAGGATGAGGATACTCTTGAATCTTATAATCTTACTGTAGGGTTTAGGGTTTAGGGTTTAGGGTTTAAGGGTTTAAGGGTTTAGGGTTTAGGGTTTTGGTTCGGGCTTTATGTTTGAGGGGTTTAGAATTCAGGGTTTAGGGTTTAAGGATTAGGGTCCACCGCTTAGGGATGGAGGTCGTAGGCCTAGGGTTTAGGGTTTAGGGTTTAGGGTTTAGGGTTTAGAATTAGGGGTTAGGACACGAATTTGAACTCTTTTTGCTTGCATGTCGGGACAGGGATGGAAGGGTTTAGGGTTTAGGTGTGGGGGTTTAGGGATTAGGGTTTGCGGAAGGGTTTAGGGTTTAGGGTTTGTGATGGATGTCTTGCCTCAGGACAAGACAGTCATACATCTGGTGCTGCGCCTGCGTGGGGGTTTAGCTCCTCTAAACCCTAAACCCTAGCAGCTGGCTTCAGGCTGCAGCAGCAGCAGTAACATTGCAAACCCTCAACTAGGGTTTAGGGTTTAGGGATTCCTACGGTCGCTGCGATGTACAGACAGCTCCTCTGCAGTTCAGAGAGCGCATGCAGCATATTGACAAAATACTTGGTGGTCTAGGGTTTAGGGTTTAGGGTTTAGGGTTTAGGTGTTGTTTGCTCCCACAAGAGCGCCACGGCCAATGGCTTTTATATGATTTTGTTGGCATGCTAACCGCAGCATCATCATCATCATCTGCTGCTGCTGCTGCTGTTGCAGCAGCAGCAGCAGGCAACAGTAACTGCAGCAACAGGGAGCAGCAACTGCAGCAGATACTGCTGTTGCTAGTTCATGTTTTGTGCAGCAATTGTTGCGTTAATGTTTTTGTATTCGTTAGCGTCGGTGGTTAGGGTTTAGGGTTTAGGATTGGGGTTTAGGGTTTAGGGGTTGCGGTGTCTCCCCTCATTAGATGCAGCAGACGCAGCACCAGAAGCAACAGCAACAGCAACAGCAACAATAAAAATTGCAGCAACAGCAGCAGGAGCAGCAGGAGCCGCAGCAGTATCACCAGCAGCAGTAGCAACACGAGCAGCATCACCATCAACAGCAGCGACACGAGCAGCAGCAGCAGCAACACGAGCAGCATCAGGGCAGCCGGTAATGTTGCCTTTTTGCTGCAGTGTTACTGCTGCTGATGGTTTACTGCTGCTGCTGCAGCAGCAGCAGCAAACCATCAGCAGCAGCAAGCCATCATTATCGGGGTCACTTTGCTGCTCTTTCCCCCCCCCGACTTAGGGGAAGAAACGGCGCTGCATATATAAAGAATAAAAGAAATAAATAAATAAATATAAATAAATAAATTAAATTAATTAATTATAATTTAATTTAATTTATTTTTCCTTTTATTTAGCAATAAACAAGAAAGAAGCAATACGTGGGCACGTGGTCACCGACGGCAGCCAGATCCTGCTCCTGCTGCTGTGGCTGCTGCTGCTGCTGCTGCTGCTGCTGTTTCAGAGCTTCTGCTGCTGAAATAAATAAATAATTTGTTTAATATGTTGATTATAACTTAATTAATTAAAAGATGAATAGTTAGATCACAGCCAGCAAAGAAGAAGAAGAAAAAAGAAGAAAAAAAAAGAAAAAAACTTCTTTTCTCTTCTTCTTTATTGTTTTTATTTATTTTTATTAATTGTTTTGCATAAAAAATCTTATTTTAGTCAATTATAGTTCCCTTAATGTCCAGCCTAACAAATGACTGAGCAGCAGCCGCAGCAGCCGCAGCAGCAGCAGCAGCAGCAGCAGCTGAAGCAGCAGCACAGGGAGCAGCAACACCTATTCTTGATCCATTAGGCCCCTGCAGCAACAGATGCTGCAGGGGGGCCTGCAGTAGATGCCGCTGCTGTAGCAACTTATACTGCTGCTGCTGCTGCAGCAGGAGCTACTACAGCATCCCCTGCTGCTGTTGCTGCTGCTGCAGGAGCTGCTGCTGCAATCACTGCTGCTGCTGCCATTGCTGCTGCTGCAGGAGCTGCTGATGCAGGAGAAACGTAAACCTCCTTACTTGGATGGCTGCAGAGGGCCCACCACATGAGGGGGCCCCCTCTGGGGGGCCCCCAAGAGTGGATGAGACGGGACCTGCTGCTGCTCCAGCAGCAGCAGCAACACAAGCAGTGGAGAGTGCCCAGCAGCTAAACTCGCGTAGAACCCAAGACAGTAATGCAGATATACCAACAGCAGCAACAGCAGCAACAGCAGCAACAGAAGCAACTGCTGTTGATGCTGCAGCAGCCGCAGCAACAGAAGCAACTGCTGTCGATGCTGCAGCAGCAACAGCAACAGACGCAAGCAGTAGTCCTACACAAAATAACAAAAAGCCAACTTTGTCACATGCTACAGAAGCTGCAGCAGCAGCAGCAGCAGCAGCTCCTGCTGCTGCTCCTGCTCCTGCAGCAGCTCCTGTTGAAGCTGCCGGTGCTGCTGCTGCTGCTGCTGTTGCTGGGGCAGCAAGGAGGAGTCTGTTGCAGCTAAAGCCTGATACACCGCGGCCTGCTGATGCTGCTGCTGCTGCTGCTGCTGCTGTTGCTGGGGCAGCAAGGAAGAGTCTGTTGCAGCTAAAGCCTGAGACACCGCGACCTGCTGCTGCTGCTGCTGCTGATGCTTCTGCTGTTGCTGCTGCTGCTGTTGCTGGGGCAACAAGGCGGAGTCTCCTGCAATTAAATTCCGATACGTCAAGCCCTGAGGCTGTTGCTGCTGCTTCTGCTGCTGCTGCTGTTGCTGGGGCAGCAAGGAAGAGTCTCTTGCTGCTAAAGCCTCAGACATCAAGCCCTGCTGCTGCTTCTGCTGCTGCTGCTGCTGCTGCTGCTGGAACAGCATCAAAGCCTCCAACGAGCGCTGATACAAAATCTTCCTCGCCGCTCCCTGAGGACTCCTCAAAACCGCAGCAGCAGCAGCAAGAGCAGCAGCAGCAGCAAGAGCAGCAGCAGCAGCAAGAGCAGCAGCAGCAGCAAGAGACGCAGCGCAAAAATGAGTCAAAGGAGGAGAAGCAGCAGCTGAAGCAGCAGCAAAAGCAGCAACAGCAGCAGCAAGAGACACCATCATCATCAGAGGAGAAGCAAGGGCCGCAGCCGGAGCAGCAGCAACAGCAGCAGCAGCAGAAACAGCCAGAGGAAAAGAAGCAGCAGCAACAACAGAAAGAATCAAGAAAGGAGAAGCAGCAGCCGCAGGAGCAGCAGAAACAAGAGCAACTGCAGCAGCAGCAGCAACCGCAGCAACAGGAAGAGCAGCAGGGGCAAAGGCCTCCGCTAGATCAGCAGCAACAGCAGCAGAAACAGCAGCAGGAAAAACAACAGCAACAGAAACAGGCACCAAAGGAGGAGAAGCAGCAGCAGACGCAACAGCAGCAGGAGCCAGCAAAAGAGCAGGAGCAGCAAGTGCCCCAGCCAGAGCAGCAGCAACAGGCGAAACAGAACCCGCAGCAGCAACAGCAGCAGCAGCAGCAGCAGCACCAGAAACCTCAACAGCAGCAAGACCAGCCGCAGAAGCCGCAGGAACAGCAGCAACAGCAACAACAACAAAAGCAGTCAAAGGAGGAGAAGCAGAAGCAGCAACAGCAGCAACAGCAGCAGCAACAATCACAACAGGAAGAGCAGCAAACGCCAAAGCTGGAGGAGAAGGTGCAGTCTGAGCAGCAGCAGCAACAGCAGCAACAGCAACAACAGCAACAGCAGCAGCAACCGCTGCAACAATCTTCGGAGCCCTCAGAGAACCTTCAGCAGAAGGAGCAGCAGAAGGAGCAGCAGCAGAAGGAGCAGCAGCAGAAGGGCCAACCGAAAGAGCAGCAGCAGACGGAGCAGCAGCAGAAGGAGCAGCAGCATAAGGAACAGCAGCAGAAGGAGCAGCATAAGGAGCAGCAGCAGAAGGAGCAACAGAATGAGCAGCAGAAGGACCAGCAGAAAGAGCAGCAGAAGGAGCAGCAGAAGGAGCAGCAGCAGAAGGAGCAGCAGCAGAAGGAGCAGCAGCAGAAGGAGCAGCAGAAAGAGAAAGCTGACCAGGAGCTGCAGCAGCCGCTTGTAGGGCCAACTCAGGAGGTGCAGCAGCAGCACCCGCAGCAGCAGGAGCAGCAACCGCAACAGCAGGAGCAGCAACCGCAACAGCAGGAGCAGCAACCGCAACAGCAGGAGCAGCAACCGCAACAGCAGGAGCAGCAACCGCAGCAGCAGGAGCAGCAACCGCAGCAGCAGGAGCAGCAACAACAAGCGGAGCAACAGCAGCAGAAATCGCAACCACAAGAACAACCAAAAGAAGAGCAACAAGCACAGCAAAAGAAGCAGCAAGAGCAGCAGGAGAAAACAGAGCAGCAGCAACCGAAGGAGCAGCAGCAGCAGCAGCAGCAGAAACAGCAGCAGCAAGAGCAAAAACAGCAGGTGCAGCTGCAGCAAGAGCAGCAGCAACAAAGGCAGCAACGTCAAAAATCGCAACTGCAGCCTAGCAGCAGCGGAGTATCCAGGAGGAGAAGCTCGCTGGAGGCTGCTGCTGCTGCCCTTCAGGCTGCTGCTGCATCTGCAGCAGCAGCAGCATTAGCAGCAGCAGAAGCTGACAGAGGAGCAGCAGATGATGCAACAGACACAGAAGCAGCAGCAGCAGCAGGAGCAGCAGAAGGAGACGAATCCTTAGAGCGTTTGCTGCAGGAGCTTGATTTATGGCAGCAGCAAGTTGGCCTTGAGGCCCAGGCAGCAGCCAACAGCAGCAGCAGCAGCAGCAGCAGCAGCAGCAGCGGGGGGCTCGGCAGCAGGCGTAACAGCAGAAGGTCTCAATCTGCTACTACGCCAACTAGGCTAAGTGTCTCCTTTCGTCTAGACGATCCAGCTGCTGCACCTGATGCTGCTGCTGCTGCTGCTGCAGCAGCAGCAGCAACTGCAGCTGCTACTGGTGAGAGTGGAGCAGCAGCAGCAGGAGATGGAGGTAAACAAGAAGGAGGGGATCCTACTACTGCTGCTGCTGCTGCTGATGGTGATGATAGTCTTCCTGCTGCTGCTGCTGCACCAAGGGACAGCAGAGCTGAATGGATGGCAGCAGCAGCAGCAGCAAACGATCCTGAGTTTCTCCGTTTGCTGCAGCAGCAGGTAAATGTTGGTGGTATATTTGATGATGGGGAAGAAGAAGAAAAGGACGAAACTGCTGCTGCTGCTGCTGCTGCTGCTGGTGCTGCTGGTGCTGCTGCTGCTGCTCCTGTTGCTGTTACCCCTACTCCTTATGAGATAAGATGCCATCTAGGCACAGGCAGATGCAGCATAATGGATAGAGAGAGGCAGAGTGTCTTGGAGGGGTTTGCTGCCTGGCAGCGGGAGCAGCTGCTGCTGCAGCAGCAGCAGCAGCAGCAACAGCAGGATCAGGGAGAGGGTGAGTATCCCGGTACAATATTTCCTTGGTTAGGACGTCGCAGCAGAGATAGTATGCCTTCTTTCTTCAGCAGCAGCAGCAGCAGCAGCAGCAGCACGAATATTCAAGGTTTATTTGGTCCCCAACGTTTACGCAGCAGCAGCAGCAGCAGCAGCAGCAGCAGCAAATTATGGGGTCCTCGTCCTAAGAGTTGTGGTTTCCGCCCGGTCTTACCTGGTGTGCTGGTGCAGCAGCAGCAGCAGCGTATATTGCAGCAACTGCAGCAGCAAGAGAAGGAATATACATTACGTGGTAGATATTTAGCAGCATATAATATACGTGAGAAAATACGTGAAAAAGAGCAGCAGCTGCTGCTGCAGCAAGGAGAAGCAGCAGCAAATCATGACGCATTAAGAAAAATTGCACAAGCTAATTGTCTATCTACTGCTCTCTCCCTGAATAAAAAATACAAAGCACAAAAATATTTAAATAATAATAATTTATTAATCTGTAAAGTTGTTGATAATAATAACCAAACTATTAAAAAAATACCTATGGAGGTACGTCTTTATTTTTTTTTTTTTTAGGGTTTAGGGTTTAGGGTTTAGGGTTTAGGGTTTAGGGTTTAGGGTTTAGGGTTTAGGGTTTAGGGTTTAGGGTTTAGGGTTTAATTGGAATAGGATTGGATGCTTTTGTTACTGCAGGTATTTATTTCTCATGAATATCCGCGATTATACAGAAAATATCGCGTCGCTTTCCCAGGAATTGGAGCGGCTCCACCCTCTGTAAACCCTAAACCCTAAACCCTAAACCCTAAACTCTAAACCCTAAACCCTAGAGTTTTCAGTCATACTAAACTGCTTGTATCCCGGTAGTTTACGATTAAGAAAGGAAAAGACGGTGTTTTCTTCTCTCTAATAAACTCATTGACACCGTTCTGTTGCTGCTGTTGCTGCTGCTGTTGCTGCTGTTGCTGCTGTTGCTGCAGCACCGTGCACGGACGTCTCTAACTGCAGAGGAGATATGCCGACGAGAGACCGAGCTGAGGGAGACTTTGCTGTCTACCCTGCAGCTGTGCAACAAGTTGAGGGAGCAGCTAGGGTTCCTTAAGCACCATCACAGCAGCAGCAGCAGCAGCAGCAGCAGCAGCAGCAGCAGCAGCGGCAGCAGCAGCAGCAGAGGTGAGAGAAGCAGCAGCATCCTAAAAAGGCTGTCTAAAGAAGCACGTAGTTCTTCCTTAGTTGAAGGACCTGAGGAAGACAACAACTAAACCCTAAACCCTTTTCTTTGCTGTTTTCCCTTTTTTATCTCTAATAAACCCTAATTAATAAACAGGGGAAATATGCAAACCCTCATAAATAGGGAAAGGCACCGAAACCCCCTTCAGTGTTTAGGGTTTAGGGTTTAGGGTTTAGGGTTTACGAGTGTTGGGTTGAACACCCTCGTAAATGTAGCGGGAATTCTAAGATCATTAAAAGAAACAGGAGAAATCAAGGAAACAAGCCTACATATGAGGGTTTAGGGTTTAGGGTTTGGGGTCTAGGGTTTAGGGTTTAGGGTTTATGAGCAGTCGAGTCACTTCTTGGTGACCCCGCGTCCTTCCCCGTCCTTCTTATTCTTTGCGGTGCCTAGCAGCACAGATCTTTTAGATCCTTTTTATTTTTAATTAAATGTAATTAAATATTAACATAAGAAAGAGGCAATAGCTGTATATTCAACCAAGAAGGGGGGCCCCCCAGGGGGCCCTCTCTGACTCCTGGTACCCGTACTCATCATACGATCGATGGAGGGTATTCTAGTAAATATATTTGTCCTTTTTCTTTATTTTTTGATTTAATTAGCAATTAAATCAATAAACAAATATAAAAAGAATAAGATAAATCAATATATTATAAAGATAACAAACAGACAGACAGCTAGAGGCGTGGCAAGGACCCGTTCCTCTGTGCTGCAGCAGCAGATGATGCCTTTTGCTGCTAATTGCAGCAAATTAAACGTATTTTTTCTTCTTCTATTTTACATTAATCAAAATATGTTTTAATCTATTTGATTAGGTAAAAGGAAGGGAGGAAAAGGGCAGCAAAAGGCGCACAGCAGCCCTTGAGTTGACGGCAACCACAGCAATAACCTGCCAGCTGCTGCCGCCGCAGCAGCAGTGATAACAAAGGCAGAAGCAGCAGCAGCAGCAGCAGAGTCTGCTGCAGCTGATGCTGCAGCAGGAAGACCACCATTACCTGTAGCAGCAAGGGCGAGGAGATGCTGCTGCAGCTGCCGCTTTCCCTGCAGCTACCTAGGCAGCGGCAGCATCCAGCAGCAGCAGCAACAGCAGCAGCAGACACCGAAATAACAGCAGCAGCTGCAGCAGCAACAGTAGCAGCAACAACAGGCGGATCACCAACGTCATCAGCAACAGCAGCAACACCAACATCAGCAGCAACAGCACCAACAACAGCAGCATCACCAACATCAGCAGCATCAGCAGCACTAGCATCGATAACACCTACATCAGCAGCAGCAGCAGCAGTAGCAGCAGCAAGAACTAAAGATGGGGTGTATAGGGAGGCAGAGGATCAGCAGCTATGGCAGTTGTTGTCTTCTCACCTCAACTACTGGCAGCACGGCAACAAGTTCTTGCAATCAGGTGGGGCAGCAGCAGCAGCAGCAGCAGTAGCAGCAGCAGCAGCAGCGGGAAGGAGAGGAGCAGCTAGAAGAGAGCAACATCTTAGCCTATTAATAATTTTGCTGCTGCTGTTTTGTTTAGGGTTTAGGGTTTAGGGTTTAGGGTTTGTCATTACATTGTTCGTCTCCTTTTATGCTGCAATTTATTTGTCTCCTTTATCTGTGGGGTGTCTCTGCAGCACGTGTCCCTTTTTTCTTCTTTATTGTCTCCCCTTTTGCTTCTTCTCCTCTGTTGCATCTGCTGCTGTTGCTGCTGCAGCAGCTGCTGCTGCTGTTGCTGTTGCTGCATTTGTTGTGTCTACAGGTCTGCCTCTGTTGCAGCGCTTGTTGTCCAAAGGTTATTTTTCTGAGGATAATTCAGTGGCATCAGCAGCAGCAGCAACAGCAGCAGCAGCAACAGCAGCAGCAGCAGCAGCAACAGCAGCAGATCGATGGAGTCTGCTGCTGCCTAAGCTTAAGGCCTTAGGCCTCCTTCGTTCTCCTTGTACTTCTTATTATCTTATCTCTGGCAATTTTGATGCTTGGCTGCAGCTCTTTAAGGACTTCGAGGCCCTACAGAGCAGCAGCAGCAGCAGCAGCAGCAGCAGCAGCAGCAGCAGTAGCACTAGGTGTAGCAGCAGCAACAGCAGCAGTAATAGCAGCAGCAGTAGTAGCAGTCGCAGCAGTAGCAGCAGCAGCAGCAAGAATGAATGTCCTACGGCGCAGCGGCAAGCGTCTGCGGGAGAGAGGATGGATGCTGCAGTAGCTTCACTGCTGCAGGACCAGCAGCAGCAACAGCAGCAGCAACAGCAGCAGCAGCAGCAGCCACAGCAGGGGCAGTCACAGCACCAGCCACAGCAACAACATCCACAGCAACAGCAGCAACAGCAGCCACAGCAACACCAGCAACACCAGCTTCAGCCACAACAGCTGCAGCCACAGCAACAGCAGCAACGGCAACAGCAGCCACAGCAGCAGCCACCGCAGCTGCAGTCACCGCAGCTGGAGCCACCGCAGCTGCAGCAGCAGCAACAACCACAGCAGCAGCAGCAGCAGCAACACGGCCAGCAGTCATACCAGCAGCAGCGTGCTGCACAAATAGCTGCTCGCAAACCTTTTCAATGGGTGTGCAGCAGCTGCAGCAGGGGCAGCAGCAGCAGCAACAACTTTAACAGCAGCAGCATTTTGAGCAGGTATGCCCATAACAATTGGGGCAGCACAAGCAGCAGCAGCCACAGCAGCAGCAGCAGCAGCAGCAGCAACACCGGATGCTCATGCCGGACCTCGAGGTTCCGCTTGTACAGCAGGAGCAACAGCAAATGCTGCTGCTGCTGCTGCAACAACAGCAGCAACAGCAGCACAGTCTTCCGGCCCCCCGCTTGGCCGCCGTCGATTTCCCATATACACCCCCCACACCAGCAACAGCAACTGCAGCAGCAGCAGCAGCAACAGCAGTGCTGCTGTCCCTTTCGTAAGGTATTGAGGGAGGTGTCTCCTCCTCATGAGTGTCTCCTTCCTGCAGCACAAACCCTTAGAGGAGGAGCAAGTGTGCACTCGCACTTGCGCTGCAGCAACAGGCTGCGACAGCAGCAGCAACTGCAGCAGCAGCAGCAGCAACTGCAGCAGCAGCAGCAATTGCTGCAGCAGGAGCGGTTGCAGAAGCAGCGTTTAATGCTGCAGCAAATGTATATGAGACAACAACCCTCGAGATTGCAACAGGCAAGTAGCCATCCGCAGCAACAGCAGCAACAGCAACAGCAGCAACAGCAGCAGCAGCAACAGCTGCAGCAGCAACAGCAGCAGCAACAGCAACAGCAGCAACGGTCTTCTTTACAACGAGTGCAAGGGGAGCGCCGCTCTGCTTCGCTGCCAAACTGCCCCCCGCCCTCCACAGAACAACGTAAGCAGCAGCAGCAGCAGCAGCAGCAGCAGGTGCAGCAGGTGCAGCAGCAGCAGCAACAGCAGCAACAGTTGCAGCGAATGCAGCAGCTTGAGCCCCATACATAGCTGCAGCAAATGAGAGCACTGCTGATGCAACAGCAGCTGGTTCAACAGGAAGTACAGCAGCAGCAGCAGCAGCAGCAGCAGGAAATAGAACACTGAACCCTTTTGCTGCACACACTCAACCATTTTATTATTTAGTCTGGTAAATATTAAGGTTTAGGGTTTAGGGTTTAGGGTTTAGGTGCATGCATGCATGCATGCATGCAGAAGGCAAACGGCCACGTCAAGCCCCAGAAGATGCGGAGGCGCAACCAATGCCGCCGCTGCTGCACCAGCAGCAGCAGCAGCAGCAGGAGAAGCAGCGGTGGCAGCAGGTGCAGCGCCAGCTGCTGCTGCAGAACCAGCAGCAGTTATACTCTTGGTACGGGCAGCGGAAGCAGCAACTGCAGCAGCAGCA